ATGTTTATGGGAAGTATATTTGGCTTTTAGTGTTTCTGTTTTCATATTATTGCAAATATGTGTGTTCGTGTAGATACATTATTTGCATATCTAAACTTAATATTTCAGAAATTCTGTACAATGCAAACTTATATTTTCAGAAATAAAAGTTGTAAGTAAAACTATAGTATGTTTTATAGAATTAAAAAAAAAAGTTTTTTATTTGTTATTTAAATTTTTATTTAATTCCATTTAATACTATTTTCTAAATGAAAATTTGAAATATTTGTCTAGTTTGGTTTATTTGTTTGCTTTTTTTATAACTTTTTTTTTTCCATTAGCACATCAAACTTTATATATATGTATAAAAATAGAAATAGAAGAAAATATACAAGTATATTTTTTACAAATATACAAGTATATTTTCTTCAGTCTTTTAATTTCAACATATGTACATTTAATTTAATTTACAAAAAAAATTCTTAGCAAAAAAAATAAATAAACAATATAATACTAAGTGTTTGTCTTATTAAACAATTGAGTAATTTGTCAACTTTTTTGTTAGTTTGCTTTTTTTTTTAATCAGTACAGTCTTTTTCCCATAAGTTTGTACAGTATTCTTTGAAAAACTTGCATTCACAAACATTAACTTGCAACTTATGAAATTTTAAAATCCAGACAAATATAAATGTCCAATACAAAAATAATTAATATATTAATAAATTATATAATACATATTAAAAACAATTAAATCTAAATTATATAGTTGAAGTCATTCATCCCCCCCCCCCGTTTATTTTTCCCCCATTTTCTATTTAATGGAGCAAATATTTTTTCAACACATTTCTAAACATAATAGTTTGTTCTGTAGACTATCGAAAAAAAAAATGCTTAAAGGGGCTAATAATTTTGATCTTAAAACAATGTTTGAAAAATGGATAACTGCTTTTACTCTAGATGAAATAAAACAAATAAGACTTTCTTCAGAAGAAAAAAAATACTATCAGACATGCTGTGAAAATGTGCTTGCCCTGTTAAAAATCACTTAAGAAAAAATTAAAAAGAGAAAAACTAATTTAAAGGGGGGCTAATAATTCTGACTTCAACTGTACATACACACACATGACCATGATTCTCTATTTAAACTGCTTTATATCGGTAAAACTGTGCTTTATAAGTGTTTAGTTGAAACTGAGGAATCTCGTTTTATTAATTTAGCTTCCACTATTTCCTCTCTGTTACCAATAATCAAAAGTGATGTTCGCGCAGATTCAATTTGACTTGGCCAATCTGTCTTTTTGTTTGCTACGAGACGCGATCAGGTGTTTGCCGATCCTGGATTTAATGAAGTGACAGCAAGCAGATGTTTCTTTCATGCTCCCGACTTTCCCATTTCTATCCTCGTGTCAGCAACAAGTGAAGGAGTTCTGAAGTGTCAGGTTGGCGTTCAAGAGTCGTGTACATATTTGGCGATAGAATGATCATGTCTAAAGCTTTACTTACGAACATTACTTTGGCTTTTGAACGAGACAAAGTATTAGGGACTGCTGATGTGTTTACTGTTTTGTTTGGCAGTGTCTCTTTTTTGACTCGAGCCACAGGTGACAAAACAAAGCAGCACCTGAGGATACAACACCTGCTGTTGTCTTGGTCATGGTGCTCGGAGCACCAAACATTGTTGGGTGTAAATCTCTGAAAGGGCCGTCACGCTGAATTAGTGTGGTTTGGCATCGCGGCTCTGTTCTAATTCACAGGTGGGACTTTGGCAGCTACACAGTGGAGCTGTCAGGAGCTGCACCATCAAAAGCCGCACTGCTTCTGAAGTCTTACCCGAAGACGAGCTGAGATTATTTAGAGGCTATTAGATAACGTGTGTAGTTCCCTTCGATGCTTTTAAATCTTTTACTGCCATTCTAACAAAACAACAACAAAAATGAAGAAGAACAATTTCTTTTGCTAAAGGTGCGGTATGTAGAATTGGCTAATGAACCTAATGTTTGAACTCGGTATTGTAGTCCAAAATTTTTAAAAACTTTTTTAATTATACAGCCCCACTGATGATGATTCACCAAACAGGCAGATTGATAATGCCAACAAGAGTGAGGTTGCCTAAAGATTATGGGCCCTATCATTCACCCAGCACAATCTGGAGCAAGGCGTGGAATTGTTATTTGGTAGTTTCAGCTTGGCGCAAGAGTCGTTTCAACGTTTTCCACCACGCAGCTTCAATAGCAAATGCATTTGCGCTCATATGTTCTAGTCTAAAAATTCTAAAAGTCTATTGCTGGCACGTTGCTATTTTAAGAAACTATAATAGATTATTCAGTAGACCAGAACAAAGCCAGTCTATTGTTCAGCGTAGATCGCGTTAGTTGTGCGCCTCGCTTACACACTGCTTAATACAAACAAGATGTAGAGCAATACGCAAATATCTTTACATATGAAAAAAAAAAGTAAATATTAAGGATATATATAGGACATAATAAGAATATATATATATATGATAAACATATAATATATATGATAAACATATATATATGATATATATATGATAAACATATATATATGATAAACATATAAAGGATTAAAATATTACAAAATATTATTTTCTAGCCTACATAAATATAAAAACCACTGCCTTCATGCCTTCTTTATCTCTGGGGGCTTTTTCAGTTTATTCATAACAATTTGCTTTTGTATAATGTTTTTATTATTAGCATTATTATTTATTATATCCATATTTATGCTTGTTTTATTAAAAAAAGCTTAGATTTGCCCACCTTTTTTAGACCATATAGGGCACAGCATGTGTATTTGGATATAACTCAGTTTTTTGACCACACTTTGTTATTATTGTTCATTTATTTGTTTGCTGGAAATAAGAACTGAATTTAGAAATAGTTTTGAAACAAATCTTTGCGCTTAACAAACAGAATTAATTATTTATAGGCTATTTGATGACTGTGCGTACAAGATTTCCCTATACACGAGTGCAAAAGTGAAAGTATAGATAATGACTGGCCTTATCTCTCATTCTCGCACTGCAGATGCTCTGTTTATCTGTTTTCTTGCTAGTGAAACGCTCAGTTTTTCCCACTTACAAAGTCGTCATGTAAATAGCAAATGCGCCATGGTGTGACCCAACTGACTCTTAAAGGGAATGGAAGATGAGACTCTGCTTGGTTTATTTTCAAAACACACTATAACTCATTAAGAAAATAGGCTCAACCCTTTTAAACCTAGCGAAACGGCGCAAAGTGGATTTTTCCGTCTTTATATTAACGACAGTGGATTCTGATACGCCCCTAATGCGTTTGTGCCCTGCACTTCGCACTTTGCGCATGGATTGTCAAAATAGAGCCCCAAGTCTTACATTGCAAGTGGATCAGTTAATGTTTACGATTAGGATATTTCAACACGATCTCATGGAAACTCGTAACTTTGATTTAGTGGCTAATTTGTACGAATTGCTCATTCCCCAATGATGGTTGGATTTAGGGCTGTGGCTGGGTGCCACATAATATCATACACTTTCATATGACATGTACGAATTTGTATGAATTAGCCACTAAACTAACAAAACGTAAATACTTACATTTCCTCATGAGATCAGGCTAGATATTTCTATTATTTGCTAATTAAAAACCACCTAGTGGATTTTATAACGTTGAGTCTGCGTCTAATTTCAGAGGTTAATACTGTCCTCCAGAGGTCGCAGTTTTGGCTGAACTAAAATTAAGTAAAATGAAGTTTGGAATAATGAATATTTCACACACTAAACTCAACGGCCGCTGCTTTGCTCACATAGCAGAAGGGGTGGAGGTATTGTGCGCTCATGTTGGATTGCTTTATTTAATTTTGTATTGTGAAAGCAAAAGTCTCACACGAGAGTGTTTATAGCGCCTCCTGATGGTAAATGCGGTTAAATAAATGGCAAGAATTATTTGGTAGTTTGTTCATTTATGTCACTAATTTGGCAACCGTCAAATGTCATCAGGGAAACAGATTGTATTTCCGCTTGGGTAAAAAAAAAACTTTAGAGTTTCAATTGGCATGACTTTACATAAACATGCCATTGAGTGTGTAAAGTACATAGTGCAGAAGTGCACAATGTATAGTGTGTCATTTGGGATGCAGCTATGGACAGCTTACATTTTCAAAGTAGAAAGAACTTTAGCATTGTTTTTCAGATAAACATGTTCAATTAGAATGTTTCTTAAACATCTGTAACCCATATTATGATATATTTGTATGCTTTAAAGAGTCAAAAACGTACATACAACACCTTTAACTTGGGCTCCAATCGAGTGACAACACTCTAAATGCATTTATTTATTATTACCACAACCAACCAGGCAGTTTTTAGATTTATCTGAATACATTAGGTGCATCTACAGTCGCAGTACACTTCTTTTACTTTGTTTAATCTGGATATGTTGTCCTGATTTGCTGTCAGAAGTCAGAATCACTGTTTGTGATGTTTATTTTTGTGGTTCAACTTATGAAATGTTTGGTGTGTGTACACATGATGGTATTTTATCAGTTGGCAGATAAAAAACACCACAGTAATCTATTTATTGTTGTCATAGTTGTCATATTTAATAATAAAACATGAAAAAAATATTACATATTGTTACAATTTATAAATAAGTTTATATCATTTACAGTATGTGTATATATTATTTATTTATACTTGTATTTTAAACTATTTTTTATTAAATATATTATTATATACTGTCGTTTTATTATAAATGTCATTATTTTTCCAACTCCTAATTGTGCAATGTTCTTACAGCTAATTTAAACAGAATCATTTGTAATCCTCCACAAGCATATTTTTAAATGAACATATGCTGCTCAAATTTGTTTATTATGTCTTGTGTTACATTATATTTATAGAAATTAACCTGTTATTTTGGAGAAGAAGTGAAATAGTTTCGATTTGAAGTTAATACTGAAGTGTCAGAATTGATGTTTGTGAGTTCAAAAGGTACCATTGTTAAGAACATCTGGTAGTGTACCTGATATATGCTCTCCTCTGATGGGTCACGGATGGGCTCGTGTCCCGCCTCAAATACAATGTACTACAACCATCGGCAGCAGAGAAGGATAAAAAAGGCAAAGGGGACAGGAAAAAGGTGAGTGCGAAAAGAAAAGAGAAGAGAGACTGATTGATCACACAGAATGAACCCCTGCAGCCTTGACCAAATGAACTCCGGTCACTGAGCAACATGCACTGGCCTAGCAAAGCATTATGCGCCCTTTCGTTCATCCTTCAACACAACTATAAATGTAATAGAGTCAGCGCTGGGAATAATATTCACTCCACATTGGAGACGGCTTACAATAACACCAAATTTCGGAGGGAAAAATTACGAGGCATTTTTTTTCTGACCTGTGGCTCATGCATATATTCAATCTGATTTCTGCCTTAAACTATTTTGTTATTCCATTTTTCCTCTGCGTATCCAAATTCCTCTGTATAAACAGGGTGATGGTGTGAATTTTACACCATTAAAAAGTAAACCAATGACTAAAGCAGCATGTTGCATGCTTCCTTAAAGGCATAGTTTCATTTACATTCACTTTCATGCACTGATCCTAAAACGATTACAAACCTAAATGAGTTTCTTTAATCTGTTGAACACAAAGGAAGATATTTTGAAGAATGTTGAAAGCTATCTCTTTAATGGAGCATGCTGATGTTAGCTTAGCAGGAGTAACAAACTCCAAGCATATGAAAAGCCATTCACTTGGATTTGGGGCTGATTTTGAAATAGAAACCCCCTATAATCCCATTTCTGTGATGTATTCCTCAATAACGTGTGGCGCAAGCAGAGACGAGAGCAATTTTTGGCAAGCAGCCTTCAAGCAAATCGCTAATTCCTGTCCATTCAAGGCCACATTAAAGCTAATGGCAGAATCGTCTCCATTTTCTGTGACATTAGATCTAATGGCTTAGTCATTCTCACTCACACATCGACTGTCACCATTGGCTAATTCATTGTGTTTCACGGTTAGCCATTGGCTAATTCATCACTCTAACAGCAAAGTGAAATCAGAGCTGCACTACTGCATATGATGGCAGATTCCTAGAAGAAAGTTCACCCAAAAAAATTAAACTGCTGTATATTTGATCACACCCTGACCACGTTTTTTATTTTTTTATTTATTTATTTTTATCTATTGCACATGCTTATTAAAATTTAAATGACTTTGACCATGAGAGCAGTCATTTTGTAAGTTTAAAAAAAATGCTTCAGTCAATATTTTAGCTAGTAGGAATCCTTTATTTGTAAGCTATTAAATCATTCATTCAAACTGCTAAAATTATATATATATATATATATATATATATATATATATATATATATATATATATAGGGGTGTCCAAACTAAATTTTAGCGCCAACTTGTCTCAACACACCAGCATGGATGTTTCTAGAAAGCCTAGTAAAGGTTACTGCACACTTAATCCGAAATTTTGTTTTGCAATTTCCACATGTAAAAAATAAATTCGACCTCACGTTGTGTTAGTCATATTGACACACTGCCTCTAAAAAATGTTGTCCGTCATAAAAATAATCAAACCGAGTTGGATTTTTTTTTCCCTTTTCACATCCATCGAACGCGTCAATGAGGCCACTATCTATTATAATGTTTGTAGGTAAAGCTAGTCTCTGTTCAGATTTTGTTTACCTATGTGAATAGGTGAAGTATCACAAGCAAAATATTAATATTCCACTGATTTTCTGGAATAAACTTCAAGATAATCCAGTACAGCTCTTTGATATTGAGCTGAACTCTCCTTCTAGTATTGGATGAGCACAATATGCAGAATATTCCTCTTTCTGTTTCTACTTTGGAGAAGAGAGGAGAACATATCACTGCTAAAACTGACTCTGAAATGTTTTGCATTTTTTCATAATAGATTAATTATTACGCATCAGACTCAGTGTGCTGAAATAAGTTGACGCAACAAATTAAAAAAAAAATGCATATGAAAATTTTGGACTTCAGTGTGCAAGGACCTTGATTAGCTAGCCCAGGTGTGGCTGATTAGAGTTGGAACTAAACTTTGCAGGACCAGCGATCGAGGACTGAATTTGTAGATACCCCTGATCTAGAACCTCTTGTATATTTCATAAACCGCATGGAAATAAATTAGATTTTTACCTCAAATGAAATGTTAGGGTAATCACAAACTAATCATGGTTTTACCACACTGACTGTACCTTTTGATGAAGCTGTGGTCACAGGTTAGAATGCAGCAAATAACGTTCAGATTTTTACATAGACCAATATTTTTGCTTCAAAACAGCACAGCATATCATCGGAATTCACAGCTATTAATATTGATGTGCCTGTAAAATTTGTGTTTGTATGTTTCTGACTAAAGAGCAGTGACTAAATCTCTCATCTAGATTTTTCGTTTGATTACAATTTATACCAGAGGTGTCATTTAATAAAATGCGGATCTATAATGAAAGCATTCGACTGCTTTCATTTCTTTTTAATGTTGTTATTTAAAAGCGAACACACAAAGATCGAAATTTTTAGATATTATTATTATTATTCAGTTGTCTGTTTAAATACGCACCCAAAACCCAGAGTGTACACTTTCGCTGTGCTTCAAATCGTGTGCAATCTGTTAGGGAAACAGCGACTTTTTGTCACTATGGAGCGCGTATCACAGTGACGCACCACTTCATGAACTGACTGTTTTGAGATATGCATATGAGGGGCGACGGCGCCTTTACTGACAAGGAAGGGAATCCCACCCTTTTTATATTTATTTCAAAGTGTTTTCATGCCTAAATAAAATTAAATCACAAACTAGATTCGCATTTAAGAGCAAGGGGCATCCTCTAGTGGTTCGGCGGTATGGGTTGCGTATGAACAGAAAGGCTCTTTAATGTTTATCGCTTCATAGAACGATTGAAAATATGGAAGAAATACGGGAAAATATCTTTACAGGATAATACCGGGGTAGAATTGTAAAACATGGGAAAATCCCAAGAAAACTGGGAGGGTTGACAGGTATGTTTGTGTGTTTTAAGCAAAAAAATAAAATAAAATTGAATAAAAGATCTAGAACAAACCGAATGAAAAAAAGGATTAACTCGGATGGCCTGAGAGTGTGTACATTAACAGCAAATGTACATTTTTGGGTGAACTATCCACTAATGGACATCTTACTAATTAAAAAACTACAATCACACACAGAATCTACAGAATACATACATACAGTAGACTATTTCATTCCCAATATGATGCACACTGGACAATACGGAAAGCCAATGCAGTGCATGTAAACATACACACACACACACACACGCAGCCCAGATGAGATGTGTTAAAGCTGTCTGTTTTCAGTACAAAAAAAACCAAAAAAAACAAAACAAAGGAGGCTCCCAAAAACGCTACTGCATCAGTTTAATCAGAAAACACCCAATTCATCAAAGGAAAAGTTAACACATTACAGCGATGATTCTCCTTTAATTTCCACACACAAAGGATGAAATAACAAGAGTTATTAGTTCAGGAGGAGTGAGAAGAGAGTAGAGAAAATGGAGTGGAATTATTTACTTCTGTGGATGAGATTAAAGGCATATCATTGAGCAGGAGCCCTGTTTAATGTGACAGCGAGAGGCAATCGTTCAGTCAGACATAATGATTCACGGTTTATTTCAAAGCGTTACCTGATACACGGGATCCTCCACATCTTCCTCCAGAATCGTCTGCAGGAGCGATCACAAAAAAAGAGCAGAAAGAAGAGACAAGAAGGAAAAGTGGAGAGCAGAAGATCAGGAAAAAGAAAAAATAGAGACGGTTTCTGGTCATTAGCAGTGCCCTCCCCTATGGTATTGTTAAACGTGAACAAAGAAGGCTCTGAAAAGAATGTACAAAGTGTTTAAACTTTTTGATCTCTTGCTCAAAATATTATGATTCCCCCATAAAATAATTTCTAACAATTTGTAATAATGCAAATCAGTGTTTCTCAACCACGTTCCTGGAGGACCTCCGGTTCTGCACATTTTCCATGTCTCCTTAACCAAACACACCAGATTCAGATCATCAGCTCATAAGCAGAGACTGAAAGATCCTTGATGGGTGTGGCAGACAGAGGATACAACCAAAACCTGCAGTGCAGGTGGTCCTCCAGGAACGTGGCTGAGAAACACAGATGCAAATGACAAAAGATTGTAGTTTTTGAGATTCTGCCGACACCAAATACCAATAACTGATACTAAAACATGATCAAACTTCTGAGATGACGAAGTAAAAACAGTCTCACTACATGCTAATTCATTGGTATAATTTTATTCATACATCTTAGTAAGTATTTTTAGTACGATGTTTAGGGGTGGAGATTGGGATCATGCCTCCTTTTTAAAATTGCATACTTTCATACGATCACATGGATTGTTTATGAATTAACCACTTTTTTTCACAAGAATGTAAAAAATGTTATGACTTATGAGATCAGGCTAAACAAACAAGCGTTCTCTTCAAGATTGATTCATAATACTTTCAGTAACTGAAATTTGTTAATTCTTGCCCTGAACATGGGGATTTTCGTGGCGTTCCTTTAAAAATGTCAGACAGCTCATAACAGCTGTATTTGAAGAACAGAATTTTAATATTCTAATTAATGATATTTAATAATATCATCCACAATTGGCACTATAACACAAAATTTAATGAAATATTCACATCTCATACGGTGAAAATGCGACTATGATACAAGATTGAATCGATTGCATTGAGGTCAGAAGTGGGACATTCCACTGCTGAATTATAGGCATCATTTGGACAAAATGTGTTTTTGTATCTAAAGAATACTATACATAGCACTCAGGAATGATTTTTTAAAAGCATTGCTGTCAAATAAAATAGTTGTTATGCCAACTTACTAAGAATCAGTTTGTCTTTGTCCACGGCTTTGGAACTGACATTGATAAGCAGCACTAGTGTTAATAGCTCTTTTAACATAATAAAATGTACCAAAAAAATGTTGGGCTCCTGTACCCGGTGCTTTAAAAAACAAGAAACACAGGTATAAAGGTCATGCATGTCAGTCAAATTCATGTTTACATTAAAAACTACCCCTTCCCCTCTCCATTCAGGATGTTGCACCAAAGAGATGCTTGTCCCAAACCAGGAATTTTATCAAACTTGTCACTCACCTCCACCAGGGACTGTTTTCCCACTAGCTTCTGGAAAGAGATTCCGCAGCAATAAATGCAGAACCACTAGGTTTTATAGAAGCTTTCTGCCACCGACTGTCAGACTGTTAAACTCTTAAAGGGTCACAATGTATTCATCTATGGTGACCAGGCCCAGATTAAGAATTCAAAGGCCCCTGGGAACAATGTCTTTTAGGCCCCATACCTAGATGCACATCTATAGTTGAATTAAAAAGTAAGATTAATACAATATTTTTTAAATAAAATTAATCTATAATGTATTGCCCGCATTTTTCAAATAAATGCTATACATTACATATATTTCTAGTCAACAAGGTTTTAACTTATTTTAAAGCATTTAAAGCACACTTTAATAATAAAAAATACTAATACAACTAGTAAAAATAAATGGATTTTAATATACTTGTTCAAGTTCAACGAAGCAGTAATAAACAATATATATATATATATATATATATATATATATATATATATATATATATATATATATATTTAGGGGTATTTTTAATAACTTCTACAAACTTATAATGCATAGGATTTGGATGTAACACCTCTCCAATCTAGTTCTATGAATCTGAGTCCTCCATAATACACACACTTATTAATGATTGCTACTTGTCTTCCTCTAGATGAGAAGTAGGCAAAATCTAATATGTAGACGCTGGATTCAAAACCAGGTTCATAATCGATTGGGTCAAAACATGTTGCCATATTGCGTTCTTTAGTTATGTTGTCTCTGTCAATCAAAAAGTGATGGGCATGAATCACTTAACTAGCTTATTCCTGGTGGTGCCGAGGTCTGCTATTTGCACTTAGCCTAAATAGACACTCCAAAATCAGCATTTTTCTCCCCTTGCAGGGGCCACAAGTGCGCACAGGCTCCTGGGCCTGTGCCCATAATGCCCATTGGTTAATCCGGCCCTGATGGTGACTGATTAGGACCGTTAAGCTTGTGATAGTACTGTGTAATGTTCATTTGATTTGCACAGCAGGACCACTCAGCAGCAATCAAAGACCGACAGAGCAATAGAAGTTGACCAGTCAACAAGTCAACTAGTCTGTGCAACCCCAAATATCAAAATGTAGAACAATAAATACATTTTTAAAGCCTTCTTTGCTCATATTTATTAAAGATACCAAAATTAAAACAGGCACTGAATGTAAAAACAGAGTACAAGCACATTTTTAAAAGTCATGCAGTAGAAAGAGAAGCAAGAATGTGGCCATAAGACGAAGTTTTGAAGCCCGCAGACAAATAAACCCTAAGATTCAACATGCAGGAGAAGGGAAGTGGAAAGAGCTGCCAATATTATTTACAGTATTGTAATAATTACCAAATTAAATATGTACAGCATTTTTGATAAATATAATATCTAAAAAATACATTTTAGATTATTTCTTGTGCAACATTTATTATATTGCATATTTATTATAAAGTATTTAATAACAAACACATGAAGTAATTACTGAAATGCCAAATATATGTATTATATGGATTATTAATTTTATTAAATGTAAATAAATGAACATAAATATATATTAAATTTAACTTAGTTTAATTAAAAAATAGAAACAAGATGTTTAGTGTCAATATAACATGTTGTTAATAAAAATTAAAAAGAGAAACAGCTTAATTACTAAAGTCAGAAATGTTTATGTGCGGTCTCAGTATAAATGATACTTTCATAGACATGAAATACAGTCCTGTAGTGTTTTCTGCTTTGATTTTCACCTAAGAACTCATTCATTTACAATCTAAGTGTTTATAAAAATTATAATTAAAATAAATGGGTGAAATAAATATACATTAAAATGCTAAACCCATAAAATTATTTTGAATATCAGCCACTTTTGAAAATCATGTCATGAAATAAATTTCATTATTTATAGATACACATAAAAGTAAGGTATTGTTGTGCAGTCTACTTTAGGTTTTACCCAAGATCTCATTAATTTACAATGTGAAAAGCAACAGTTGTATAAATTTTTTATTTTTTTTTAATCTCAGCGTGCACTCTGCCTCATATTATATCTAATTATGCTACTCTCTGACATAAATAATATATATGTCCTATTTTCGAAATGTGTTGTTTTCCGTGTCTTCATCCTATTGTATTGCATATTTCATCATCCCTTTTTGAGTTTGTTGTTGCTCTTCAATTGCCCGCTGATGCCTATTCGTGTAAGAGCTTCACAAACACTGAATTCTCTTTAAGGCTTTGAGTTCATGAAGGTTTATGGTGAGTGTGTTACCTGATAAACAGCTTGTTCGCACTGTTTGTCTTTCTGAGCTTTCTTCTCGATCTCCTC